ATCTCCAGCACGCAGCGAAACGCGCAAATCCACGACACAGTAACATCTACGAATGTTTCCCAGTGGAATGGATTGTGCCGTAGGGAAGTCATGGTCTGCGAGCATAGAACACACTCGGAAATGAACTATTACAGCACGGAAAGCTGTCTTTGTAAAGAGGCCCCCTGTTCTTCCACTGCGCCCATTAAATATGTATAATTGATGATCACTAAAAAGGAGTACTCACTTCGGAGAAGAGGTTGGCAAAAGCGATCTTTCTAGTTCTTTTTGTTGAAGTGAGCCCAGCCAAAATGCACTTTCGGATATTATATATTATCATATATGTAAGTAATGGTCTTGAGATAAGCGAGGCTGGAATCGCTTTCTAGTATTTAATATTGAAGATGCAATGCAAACAAGTTAGCCCCCATGAGTGAACATTTCAAACAACGGCAGACGGGAGGCGGGTCCCTGACCCAATAATTAAGCTTAGGCGCCGTGAGATTCTAACATGGGTGCTGCGTCTCTATCAGCGGCATCTTGCTGACGTGCTGCTTTAGCCATGCGCTACGTCTCACCGGCTCAAGGCTTATACAAGCCGAGCTTGTGAATGGCAGCCCATTTCCTTTTCTGTCAAAAACGCAGACTATTTTTTCAGCCACACAGCCCTGTTTTTCTATTATTGAAGAGCACTGGTCCAGTGGAACCGACTGGTAGTCCTACTAAGCGGAGTTAAGTTGACATAGTACATTTGACCTGGCTCTGTTCTCTAATAGATAGTTTAAAAAATACTGACCCAGTTGAATGACGGCCGGAGTAACAGAAATCCACTGGGCTATGTCGCAACACACAATTCACAACCATACGAAAATTAGAAATTAACTTCCACCGACCCACTTGTGGAATACAAAGAACAAAAGCACAGCGTTAACTAAAATCCTCATAGCGAAGTTATTATATCACGAAGCCCGAATGAAGGAGAGACTGTGTTCCGTGATTATCGCCACTTAAACTTCTCCATTCACAATGATTCAGAGGGCCTGTTCACTGTTTCATGAAGCTGCGCATGTATCGTAGCTGCGCTGGAAGCGGCTATCAGCATGAATAGGTCAGCTGGTTCCAGTTATCAGTAACGCGTATAAGTGAAACTCGCGCTTTGTAGTGAAGACCTACTCACACAATAATTAGTGTCAATCGCATTCTTTTCCAGAAGACGGAAGACGGTCGAGCCCGGCATGATTTCTGAGCCTGGCTTAAAAACAACCCAAACAGACAAGGACACAATATGCAACCCCACACAGGCAAAAAAGGATAGTTCAGTGTGTATTACAGGACCGGGGGTAATATGGGTTTTATGAGTGGGGCTAAATTGAGGAAAAAATAAAGACAACCTAAACCTAGCCCTATCCATTGTGTTTTTTAGGGTTGGCATTCGTTACCGGGTCATTAGGATCGCACAATAGTTTGTTACCAAGACACGTGTGCGGCTTGCGACAGCCCATGGCTTAACGTTACACTGACCACTAGGCATGTTGTCATTCCTAGCTGACCTGATCCACTTTTTCATGGAACCTCAACGGAGGCGGGGCAGAAGAAGGCCGGCTCTACGCCATCTTTCATTACCACAAAGAAACTTATGCGTTTAGAAACTAATGCGGCATCCTTATAGTCGCCACTTGGAAAGCTGCTTGTTGGCCCGACCGATCGGTCCTCCTACTGTCAACAAACTGTTGTCTGACACCGCCAATCCCGTTATGAATGCTAAACCCTAAAGAACACAGCATATAGAGCCATGGCTTGGTTGCTGTGTAAAACGGTCACTTTTGAATAACCGGACAGTGTGTCCGAACAATGTGAGACGATAAAAAATCAAACAAGCTGGGGCAGTTTATTTTAAACCTAATGCAATGGCACAGATGACTTACGTCCGTTTTTGCCTTGGGAACCAGAGGTACGCAGACTAGCGGCTTTGAATTTCGACGCGCTGCCAGAACCTTCCGAGCTTTGCGAAGACAATCACGTTTCACCTGTTCCTCGTCCTCGGTTGCATCATTTTCACTGTCTGAGTGTGCGTACATACCCCGGGAGCCCTGTTTAAGGTAAAATTAAATCTTATTAAGCGAAGGCGGGATATGGTATGATGCACGTAATTAACTTTACAGATGGATAAATGAGGGGTGGCTGTAATCGAAGGGCAAAAACAGCTTTACCTTAAAATGTGAAGGCGGACAGTGAAGGTCACAGAAGGCATTTTTGCGGATGCCCGAGTCAGCTGGATCATCACTCTGCTCTATCTTCATGTATAAGCCGGCCTGTTGAGCACAGGTTACATGAAAGGCGCGGTAGCAGCTCGGTTTGTGACACTGAATGCAGGCACCAACGTTGCGTTGTTTGCAAATGAAACACTGCAGACGCCACCTTTTGAGAGAGACACGCGGATGAGGGAGAGTAAAGAAAAGAACATACTAACGCGAAAGAGAAGGTTCACTAGTACAGCTGGGTGGGGGTCGGTTATAGAAATCCGAAGGACTTTCTTGGTGTCGCTTAAAGTCTGATTACAGGCAAAGTGTCTGACTAACTGAATGTGTCGAATCCTGTTTCAAAGTTTCTCTACCCAGTAAAAAAAGTACGCACAAGGCCTACGCCCCGAATTTGTTTGAAAGGAAGTCTCACATACTGGAAGCTAAGTCTTCCAAATGAACTCTAGGTCCTTTTCAGAGGCCTCGATTAAATCAAAGACCGTTTGCGCTTCAGTGGTTCGATGGCTTATGTTATCGCCAGCTTGCCCGTTAGGCAGACAGTTTGATCGAATATTGCAGAATCCTTAACCAACCTATGATATAATGGCGGAGTACATGTTTCCAGAACTGTATCGGTTAACAGATGGATATAAGTTAAGGCGGAGAGGGTGGCAAAAATGCGTCAACTCGACTGCAATATGCGATTAACCCGCCGCACAGCATGATCCAATCAGAGGTCACAATGCATAAATTTGGCTGTTGGGGCAGTCCGATGTCCCCGACCTCCTCAGCCGGCAAACGAATAGCGCAGACAGAAGGGAATACCCACCTTGTCAACGTAAACCTCCTTTACCTTTAGCAATGACATGATATAGGTACAAGAGGAAGATATGGAGTCTATAACGCACTCACGTGTGCATACAGTTTTAAGGGCCAAAAGCGTTAACATGGGAGACCAGGAGTGGCTACTAGCAAGGTGTTTGCTCGGGTGAAGAAGTACGATGTCGGGAACAGAGTTTATTGGGGCGGATCGATCGGACAGATGACTTAATGATTTGCATATACTGGGATTGCAACGTGATCCCTTTCAGAACGAGAGACGTCGCCAGGGCTGCCTGGATAAAGGGAGAAACAGGAGTCCCTTCCAGAGTCAGGAATTCATGCCAGAGACTAACAGAAGGGAAAGACTTGGGAAAGACTTTTTATTTTGACGTTGGATATCAGAGCAAAGATGCAGTCGTACATTCCACCATCCGATAAGAATGGTTCATTCCAGATTGTTTAATATCCCTCCACAAAATTGGAACATGACTGGAGAGGCAATCGGGCAGTTTGCATTAGGTCATTTTGAATTCTTCGGTACAGACGAGAACCAGTGGTTCAGTCGAAATACAATCTGCTTGTCTAGCCTACACGAGTTCTTCCTATCAAACTCCACTTAGCAGCTTATGAATATCAAGCGGTTACTCTAGGCTAGCTGCAGGATTTCAGTTTAAATATCCCTATCAACTTCCGAACCGAGTCCGAAAATATTTATTCCGAAGGATTTACGCCAAGCTTACGCATGACTTTCTTCGGAAATTGAGCAAGACGAGACATATTAGGTGTCTGAGTAATATCGAAGAGCCGGCAGAGATTTTTGAGTATACAAGGGAATCATAAAAGTACGTAAGGAAAGTAGACAGAAGGAAATCTATGACTAATAAACCAACCTAGCTGGGGAAATTTTGTCAATGTCCTCTAACGGTTCCAAGAAGGTGAGGTTTGCGAACATCACCTCCGGCACCCAAAGACCGCAGATGACGTGTGCCCAGCGGTCATCGGAAGTCTTCTTAAAAGCTCCACCAAGGTTTGGGCATAAGCAACAGGTGACGGGCTCGCTCGGCGAATGAAGGCACTTCCGACAAAGCCAAGGACCCTCAGGAACATAGGGAACCCCATAGCACTCCTAAAGACAGAGTTAACACCAAATGAATTTCTTTTAAAAAAATGCATCAAACAATATGGCATGAAAGCCGTTTTTTCGAAGTATTCTATACAAACAGTGCTCAAGGTAAATTAACTGAAATGCTCTAGATCAGAGGTAGGCAACCTTTTTTACTCAGAGAGCCAAGAATGTAAATATTTGAAAATATATTTCAGTGAGAGCCATATAATATATTTTAAGATTGAGTTCACCTAAATGTGAGTATAATAAGCCTCTGAATTTATTCTTGGAGGAACCAAAATCACAAAATCTGAAGTTTCTTATCCCAATTTTATCTGAGAGAGCCAGATGCACTCATCAAAAGAGCCACACCTGGCTCGCGAGCCATATGTTCCCGACCCCTGCTCTAGATAGTATAAAATAAATGAGGGCGGAGTCATTTATACGACTCAAGAAGTATACAGTATGTCTACGGATCCGTGCAAAGGTCATGGCGAAATTTGACTTGGTAGTTAAGCATATATCTGGTCATGCAATTCTGACCTACTGAATGGATTTAATCCCGCGAAAGCCTTTTAGTTAGGAAAACTGCCATTTTAGTTCAGTGTATTAAGGGTAATGGGCAGTAATTTTGGCTAAATCGAGGGTAGCCTGATATCGAAGAAATCTCCATTGCTACTAGGTACGACAAACATTTTATTAGGATGCATTATGCTATGGGAGAACACCGAAATAAATAAAAAAAAGTTTGAAACATATCCCTTCCAGAACCGGAAAATTTAGTCCGAAGTTGCGCAGATGCAAGTGAAGCCAGTTTTAAGGAATAGCATTCATTTTCAGAAACAAGGAACAACTTCAGTTTTAAAAATTACTTTATGCTAACCTGTGAATCTTATTGCCACAAAGTGCGGTAACAAAAACGTTTGGTCGCGTTTTTGTTTTACCGCATCGAGTAATTGGGACGTAACCAAAAATGTCCATATATGTTATCGTGAAAGTGACGAAGAACAGATCTTATTAAAACCAAATCATATAGAACTATACTTTTTGTACATTATAATTTCGGCTTGTACGTTATTTAGAAACGGAACAGACAGAAGAATAATTATTATATCAAAATCTTGTTATATATTTGGCTACTTGTTTTGTATTCGCAAGCTAGAACACAGCTTGGAAGTAATCCACGATGGAGGAAAATGATTCCATATGAAAAGAAAAGTGAGTTCTCTCATTCCCAGTCAAATTTAATCATTTATCTTCAGGTAAACTGAAAAAAACTTTTCAAAAATCTCCATTTTCATTTTGACATTACGTTGAAAAAAGGTAATCTGCACAGAAATTCGTTAGCTGAATATCTAATTAAAATTCTTTTTAAAGAGATTACTTGTTATAGAAGTCTTTTTTATTAATCTTAGGGATAACAGTGTTAGACTTTTGTTGCGGACGTTTCTCGCTAGACAACTTGTTTTGCTGTTTGAAGGCATTTCTAATTATGGTCCACATGACCATCTTCATAAAAACTAATATTCAAAAGCTCATTGTTTAGATAAATTATTTTAAGGATTCTGATATAAACGTCGAACGGGATCTGGATTTATGGACGAAGGCTTGAAGACACTGAAAAAGCTCGAAAATACGCCGGAATTTAAAGGACGATATTGAACTGTAATCCAATAACGGAAATATGTATTAAAATATTTGATTAAAGAAAACTTTGTGGTATAAAGAAAATGGTATCGTTAACCTTTAAACTGACGATAGGATTTAAATTTATTGTTCTAATTTATAACTATTTTTTATATCTCCGGAACTTGGGCATTATTAAGAAATTTCATGTTTTAACAGAAATTATTACTTCTTATATTTCCTTTGAATAAAAAATTTGCCCAATGTTCTCCATTGTTACTTCTAAGTTTTCGTACATGCGGTAATGTCGGTTGTCGAGTAATTATCAATCTTTCGCAAACTTCGGCATTTTACACGACTCATGCGCCGCACTGTACTCAGCTGTTAACGTAATATAAACACTCCATGCAAGCTTCCTCAAGTTGAGAGTATCAAACCAACCTGATGAACCGCAAGGTTGCAGACGTCGCAAAAAAGGATGACGTTGGTATTCTCACAAGTGCCGTCCTGACACACAGCACAAACAGCGTCCTCGTCAATACCGGCGAGCATAAGGCTGTTGGAAGGTACGCTCAAAGACTCACTAGGCCCTCCTGGGGAGTTCACATAAGTACGAAACCGAGCTTCCTTCTCAAATCGATCAAGAACCCATTCTAGAGTTGACTGGTCGATGGAGTCCCATCGCTTGGTTGCTCTTTCCGAGTTGATCCGCCCAAGCCAAAATAAATCCTGGGAGAAAAAAAGAAACACTTAAATCTTAGGCCAGGTGCTGGCGCTGGTAAAAGGCAAAGCAGTACATCCATTATAAGGGCAAACAGGACAGCTCGCGCGTCAAATGAAGCACACAAGAAGTTACTTGCGCTGGAACAAGTATGCGTTGCATACCAGAAATTAGTGCATTTACTATCTCTAATACCAGATACTCCAGTCGGTTCACGAAGGACAGCCTGCTGGAGGAGTTGTATGTCCTACTATTATCCCGCCGGATTTAGTTTGTAAAAATGTCGTCCTTACCAGTTCAGATCATCCAGTGTAATCCGAGGCCCCTCATAGGTCTTCTGGTTTGCACCCGATTATAGTACCAAAGGACTAAAGGATTGGGATCATGGCTGTAGTCATCGCTGCTGTAGAGGAGGATTAAAAAATTGCTGTTTGCCGTCTTAGGTCCCTTTGAGGGCCCTTGGTTGCATCTGTTTACAAAACTTGGAGGACAGCTCCGGCTGCCGAGTAAATGCCGAGGTAGGTCCACCGATATCTCAGACCAATATTCACATTTGGTAAACCTAAGTGAGTGTCACGCGTAAGCCAAAAGACTCACTGTCCTACATTTTGCGTTTGTTTTAAAAGCCTAAAACTCATATAACATTCATGCGCTATTTACAGAATTTGCACTTGCTACAGCGACAACGCTCTATGAATTGGGTAGGAATTTAAGACTGCTTTATGGGTCTTCGTAATGGTATCGTAGCGAGTAGGGGCCATTTCACTTAATTTCCCTTTAAAATAAGAGAGGTTTGATGACTGACACTGTAATAATATTGCTAGCATAAGGACCATACGTGGAAGCACACGAATAACGGCAACAAATTATAATAGAATATATCCTTTCACCCTAATATATGCGTGCTCATTATTGAGTTTGAAATAAAGATCGAAAGGGTTAAGCTTCCGCAAACGAGAATTAAAACACTCAGAAACGATAAAAAAAATCTACAAAATGAAGTTATATTAACACAGTTCTCTCACTTCCTCATCAAGATCATACTCCACAATCTCATTCAATTCATCAAAGGATTTTTCAATAAAGCGTTTGTATCCATAGTCCTCCTTGGCGACGGCTCGTTCCTGTTTAGGAAAGCTTAAATCCACTTCAAATTGTGGCTTGGGAATAGCTAGAGGTGCAGCCAGTGCCTCCTTGTTCACCTCTTCTGGAGACGAAGTGCCCGTGTGCTGCGGAGAACGTACCCGACCAGTTAAGCCAGGTGGTTTTGATAAGCGCAATTTAGGATCCGCGGCGCCGTTTTTATGCTTGTTGTTGGATGATTTCTGACGGTTGACTGCGT